CGATTTTGAGTTTTTATGGGAGCGCGCATACCGGTTACACGTGGTAAATTTCCCGGAAGATAAACATCTTCTGCTGCACTGTGACTTTCTTTTTTCAAATCATCATCAGCGGTAGCTTCTGTAATGAACATTGAGTTCTCTGATGCAAGAAGGTTTCTGGCAATGAAATTCTCGAAGTCTAACTGAGGCATAGGTTTTGTGTTGGTAGAAGCAGCGACAAAGCAATTTAGTTTCCAAGCGTTTACTACAGCGCTATCTAAACACTGTACCCATAATGGCCACCACCCCTTTTTGCTTCTATTCCCGATACTATAGTTAACAACTCCATTGTCATATAAATCAGCGCCACCAATATGTCGGTTGTAGCTATTGATAACTTGGGACTCTGGGACACCAACCTTTTTTTTCTCTCTGCTATAGTGTTAGACATTTACTATGGGTTCAAGTAAGTATTTTGCAATGGATACTCACAATGGTTGAATAATTCCTTTAGAACAAATGCACCGATTCTTAATTGTTTGTTGTATTTATCAGTTGCACTGGAGTATGGCAGAAACTGGAAAATATACCCACTATCCAAAGAAAGGGTTCACAGCTTATAACCGAAACGTATTGATTTTACAAGTTCCAATGTGAATAGTAGCGACTTAGGCATTTCTACAACACTACCATAATCTTGTGCATTTGATTCGTATACAACTTCAATAATATCAAAATATTCTCTCACAATTAGACAAACGGAATTCAAAAAAGGAGAACAAAATTCTAAAGTCGCATGTAATGTTTGTTGATATTTCACCATCGTCAATCATTTCATTGTCAGATTCTCCAGCAACATTATCAGGTAGCAAACATTATTATTCAATAGATAGCGGATGTTACTTGGCACTAATGAGTCATCTTCGCTCCAATTGTCAATATGATTTCTTAGATATCTGAGGCACGACATTATAATTTTATTTGCAGTTAAAAATCGACTACAGAACTTTTAACAAGGACAAATATAAGCCCTATATAAAACAATCAAATTCAGACTAACTTCAGCAATCAAATTTCAAAATAGACTTATTACTATTATGCATAGTAAAAAACATTACTTTAAGTTAGTTAGAAGAGTATGATATTTATTAGAGAGATTACTCCCATTTGATTTCATTATCTAACGACAAATATTTATATTGATTGTTTCATCATTATAGTATTATAGGACCCAGCGTGTGATTTACCACACGCCTTTTTTCGCCGGCGTCTGGTGACACGTATGGTAACTGTCACTAAGGCGTCGGCAAAAATTACGAAAATTATATTTGGACTTTTGTGAACACATGTTTTAACAAATATATTAGTTTTTATTTCTGTTTATTTTAATTTTCATTTGATTCAAAAAAGCATTTTTTTTGCACACTTTTTATTTCGGACCAGGTAAACTCATGAACAGATGAAAACTGTTCGAAATATGTATTTTTATATTATTAAGATATCAAACTAAGTAACAAAAATAAAAAACATTGAATTAATCACTTTTACATATTTTTAAATAATTTTCAAAGTTAGCTGTGTAATAAGTATCAAAGTAGGCAGTACTAGAATGTAATAAGTAAGAATGTAAGCTAAAATGTAGCTTCGTAAAGCTTGAGTTTACTGTATTTAATTAGCAATAACAAAACAAAACGAAGTATATATATATACATTTATATACACAACATGCACGGCGAAACGTGTCTTGAAATTGTTTGAAGGCAATTTTGTTAGCAAGCAACGTATTATTGTGCCTGAAACCTGAAGAGACGAGTCTTTCCAAACTCTTTCCAAGCTAGTGAACACCGCAGGCTGGTTTCCTAATACCAAAGACGAAGTAGTAAAAATCGGCCATAATTTTTTATTGTGTATAGTATTGCCAAAAGCGAATACTGAAAAAGTGAATGTCAGTTCTTCATAAATAATGTGCGAAATAAGTCATTTTTGGCCATGATACGATTAGAATCGAAAACCAGTTCTCCTGTACGGCATTTAAAAATATTTTGCTGACTCATTTTTATTTGTTTAAAATACAAGTTTTCAATGTCTGCAGAATAATGCCTTAGCTGACGTCATATATGGTGGATAATTAAAAAATAGGTTTCTACGTATCGCAATGAGTTTGCGAATATTCAATGTACATAAACCATTAGCGACTAACTTGATTTACGCTGCATACCATCTTATTTGTTTAAAATTTCAATTTATTTGATTTTATATATCTAGTCTGGATTTTACAAAAAGAATTTGGATTCCAAATTAACCCCGCAATAACAATGAATTTGAATGCTAACAGTGTATCGTGATCTAATCGAATAAAGTTTACATTACCGGAAATTCACAACAGCGGGATTTAGTAGGCCAGGACATGCATGTATCATATGCTATAGTAAGTTTAATGTTAGAGAAGATGTGCAAACAACTGATACAAAAAAAGTGTTCTGCTTTGTGTTTAGATATATTACGACATATGTATTGTAAATATAGATATATAAAACTTGAATACGTACTTGTGATTTGTAAAATATCTCAACAAATATTGAAACACTTTTTTGCGTTAGTTATTTGTGGTATTTACAGTGCAATATTGGTTTATTAAGAACCAATTTTTGGAAGCTTTGAATATGCAAATTAATTTTTAAAAATAAACTCCATTGATTGCATACATAGTCGGAAAATCGGTCCAACTGACAAACTGGAGTGATCGCAGCTATCCTATCATCGGATAGGACTGCCTCGGATCGGAGTGCTTTTCATACTACAGAGAATGTAGAAATATGTATGTACATATTTTCAATAGCAGCTCTGTTGTAGTCAACACATTTCAAATATTTTTTCAACATCTGCTGATAGTGATTGCACTAAACTTAACGTAGTTTTTATTATTTTCTTGTCGCAACAGACTGACCTTAACAGTTGAGGTCTATTAAATCGTTTTAACAATAATGACAGTCATGCAATGAGTCACTCAATGCTGGAACCGATGTGAAATTATTTTTATCTTACAGTCGTAACGTTAATAATTACAAATTAAGAATACTAATTGTTTATTTAGCTTACAGTAAATTGGAATTCAATAAAATGTTTTTCCTTTTAAATTCTTTCCTCTCACCTAAGACGTTCGCACACTTCAGAAGTTCTCAAAAGACTGGTTCTATGGCTTGCAGTAGTTTCTATCCACAATCTTGTTCCACAATCTCGCGGTCTTGTTGTTATACATGAAAAAAGTAAGTATTTTGTTTTTGCTATCAATAATTCTTTTGTTTTGTTTTGAATAGTTTTAAAAACAAAAAACGAATATCAAGAACCTGCAGCTGACGTAATAAAATATTATTTTGAAAATTTTATCAATTATTTTTAAGCAATTAGTTTTTCGCTCCCAATACAATAAAATACTTTAAACTAATATAAAATGTTATCCATTTATTGATCGCTCACAGCCACGACACATTCAATACCACAAGAAATTTAGTATTGAATTTAATTTAATAACTATAGAAATTCTTTATATATAAGGTTATAATCGTATTTATTGTATTATAAGAAAATACATTTTTCTTATAATACAACACAATAATACAATATTTCTTACAGGTATAACCATATACATACATATGTACTTATATTTGAACCCAAATGTTATTGGGATTCATAATAGAAATTGTTAGGGACACTTTACAAAGATATTGGCGTCATTTTCCTGATATTGCTTTTGAACTCGTAATATGAACTATGGGGCAATCACAGCACACAATTCTGTGACAAAAAAAGAACAAAAGAAACTCAGTTAAAGTTTTAGGTAAAAACAATAAAAAGTTCATTTACAAATATTAAAAACATCATACAGCATATAAAGTCTCCAAATAAAAATTAACATTAATTAGAAAGTATATAGCAATCAGTGCCTAACTAAGTTAAAACACAACGTTAAAGTAATTATATCAGACTTTGAAGATATATGATTTCGTTATTAAGTGGAGTAATTTTTTATTTGAAAATATGTGCTTCCCACAAATACAATAGTAATATTTTAAATTAAAAAGTAGTTTACATAACTTCAACTTTCAATTATTCATTTGCAATAGATAGATAGTTCACTTAATGAATTTTAAACATCTAAACAAACTCCTATAGTAAACAAGACGACATTGTTTCCTAAATTATTTACAGCTTATGCCTCAAATTTTTTTTGTACTTGTGATTGAATTGTAACAAAAATTTATTAATATAGTGTAATATATAGTATAATGAAGATGTTTCCTCAATTTTTATAAGCATTCGAAAACCTTCTAACAATAACGATACCGCAAGCCTGTCATTGTCTATCGACATTGAACTTTCGAGTTTTTCTAGCAATTATCACATGTTGGTTTCAGATTAAATGCTTTATTTTAGCTTTGAAGACGTCTAATCTGAGTTGGGTATTTAATACCAAAATTGTACTAAACTGTTAAAAGACTCAAACACAAAAGCCCACGTGTAGACCAATAGATCAGTAACCACTAGATCATTTTTATATAGCAGACAATATTTTGGCATTCAAAAAAAAAGTCATGAAAGCAATCTTCTATGCGACTGATTTTTGTAAACTATGAATTTTTCAAAAGTCTGCGACTTTTCCGAAATTGACTCCCAACAACGACCCATATTGACATTTAGATGCCCACTTTTTCAGCACCACGGGTAATGCACTTTACTTAAATGCTCTACCTGATTTTATTTGAAATTCCATAAACTCAGTTCTGAAGATTTAATTCAATGTTTAGTTTTTTATCTATTTTAAATTTTTAAATAATAATTGTGGAGCGACATAATTATTATTAAAAAGAAAAAATTTAGGTCACGCCTAAACTGGATATGCTTATTTGCCTTTAGGTGGCAACTGGGTGGTAGTTAACATATTACTTTACTTCGATGTAGACGAAATTGCCCCCCCCGCCCTTAGAATTCCTATCGATTTGGTTAAGCGTTGTGACACATACCGTTATAACTTGTATTATTTGCGCATGCGTTGGTCTCATTTGTGGTTTTGTATTCCTTGCAGTTGATGGAACCCATTTTAGATCTGGACGTGTGACTGTTTTTGTGTGCAACCAAAGTGCTGAAATACCTGTTGAATGCCCAAACAAAAATATTTACTTAAATAGTTTGCAACCGCACATTAGCTAAATTTCGAAATATAAGCAAGTATTTTCCTGTATGCGTTTAAAAATGGCTGGACTGACCTTTCTCGTTGCGGTTTTAAAGCACTTAAAACGTTTCGCGGCGTTACTAACAAATAAAGTGAACGTACAATCATAAATTTCTTATGAAGTCTGTGGAATTTCCGATATGACGCACGATTATATAAATTAGTTCAGCAAATAGAACCTGAATTATTATATCACAAAATGCGTTAACTAATAAGAGTTATGCTTAAATACAACTCAAATAATATTCTCCACTTTCAGTTACATAAAATATTCCTCACATCCGCACCACAACCGTCATGGTTAATTGTCGATTCACAACTAAACGTAAGATAAAAAGTCGACACAAACAAACGAGTTTTAATAATTTTATTTATTAAACGCTGTTTGGTTGTGATGAAATGTTTTGTCGGAATTCCTTTGCATCTGTTGGCTGAGCTATTTTGTTTTGCTCGCTCTTCGTCTTCGTTTAAGCTTTTATATTGTATTTGTTTCGTTTTAATAACCCAGTAGAAAAAGTGGTCTTCGAAGACATTGTCTTCAAGACGGTCTTTGATACCGCGTCCGCATTTTCAAG